TCTTAGTGCTCATTTTCAATCCTAACTTCTGTATTCATTTCGAAAATTTCCCGACATATTCATGGAAATTGTAGTTTTCCAGCGCGATCCCAGATCCAAAGGAATTTTCTGGCAAGGTTCCTGAATGGCTCAAAGACATACTATCAAAGTCAGTCTCCTTTTTTAAACAATTTCTTCAGTGCCAACTTAAACATAGTTATTCTAAAACTATACACAATTGGATTAACGAGAGAATTTGCCATGTGCAAGACTGTTACAATCAACATTACAAGATCCTTTTGTGGAATGCATTCGTTACAGAAAGGTATTATGAAATAAATCGTAGCTGCTGGCATCCAAAACAAAAACGATAACCCTATCACAATAAACAGAATCTTTGACAATTTGATGTTCCGTTCAGTGAGTTTTCTGTTGTGAATATCTTGATCTGCGCACACAGAAAGACCGGTTCTCAACTTCGTTCGTATCTTAATGTATGACGCTAACACCACACATAAGGGGATGAAAACTGTAGATGTCAACACGTAAAAAGGACTCAATTCTTCTATAAGCCTATGTACTGCTAACAAATTCACTGTTGTTATACAAAAACCAGAAAACCAGATCGCACTAATGCTGAAAATATACGCTCGATTTCCTGCAGTCCGGTGACGAAAAGGCCACAACACCGCACAAGCTCGCTCCAGCGAGATTACTGCCAAAGTAAACACTGAGATGTTTGATAAAGGGGCTGCAACGGCAGATGCCAAACTTCCATCAGTAAAGGATAAGTTACGCCGAGGAATAGTCTCTGTTACTATGACGATCATCTCTGTTGCTCCTACAAGAAAATCAGCAAGTGCAAGGTTGAGAAGGAGGTAACACGCGCGTTTTAAACTCTGCTTCTGGTTCCAGAAAACAAAAATTGTGAAGGCATTCCCGATGAAGATTAGAGATCCTTCGATAAGAACAACAATAATGCGTGCCAGAAACAAAGTGTTTGACATCGTAGACACTGACGGTTTGAACGAGACTTTTACGGATTCTAGCTGGGTTTGGTTCGTTTATGTTTCATTTTCTGTTTGACTGGGCTCTTTGTGTGTGAATCTCTACAAATACAGACAATGTGTAGATTTTTTTTTATCATTGATTTATTGTGCCACCGGGAAAGTTATTTCACTTTTTATTTGTAGGGCAAGACAGCTTTGATAGCTCCGCGTGAGTCGTAATTTCTTCCGCGGTAGGACGGTAAAGACTTGAAGATAGAAAGTTTGTTTTACTTTTTGTGCAAATAAAATCCAATAGCAATTTTATAATCCTAACAAAAACATCGCGGGCAAGATTTCTGCAAAGTCCCATACTATTATAAAATAAGGCTGTGGTCTCAAAGGTGATCTATTGTTTTCGCCATCTTTTCTTTGTCTAAGAACTTTCTGTATCATGAAGTATGGCGCTGTGCAGATATCGTACCAAAACATATTGCAAGCGTTTTCAAATAATACACTTTTGAGAAGAAAAAGGAATGCAGCCAAAGGAAAATAAATAAGTTCATGTCTCCAAGAATAAGTGAACTTTATTTACATGAATATGTTTATGGAAGATAAATAAAGAGAAATCTTTTGTCTTAAACATCAACCATTTCTTAGTAATCCTAAGTTTAAACATTATACCTTATTACTTGCGATTGAGAGGCACTCAAAGAGTTTACCGTTTAAACTATGAAAGCAGTTTTTTCGACAGCCTTCAAAGTACAATATGCCTAATTTAAAACTGTGAGGTAATTGTACTCTATACGCTATGGCTATGTTTGTTCAAATAAAATGCTCGTGAGACTTATTTGTTAAATGGAAAAGCAGCTGTTCCTTCCTCAAACACTAAGATTCAATAACTGCTTTTCATAAATCTCACATTCAAGTACGACACAAAATGTGGAAATTTATAGTGTATTTTCAAAAACGCGGATAGGTTGGGACCCTCAGTATAGCAATGTCACGATTTCACCATCCAAAAGAATAATAGAAGAAATATTTGAAAGACCGGATTATTATTAACAAAAGAAAGTTATCATTATTCTACGTTAGGATATCATTCAATCAATAGTTCCATGGTTACAGTATTGGTACTGATGGCACTGTCCTGGTATGAATGAGACTACGGGCTCAGGCCTAATTTGCATCAGCACTTGACAAGTTATCGACATCCGAACCATACCAATATATTGCTCGTCAGCTCAAGTTTGCAGTGCGCTCTGATGTTACCACGATTATATCGAGTAAAAGGCTGGGTTCAATCGTACCTTGATTACCACAAGGTGCATTTATTCTGGGGGTTCATGGCAGATCCTGGCTTGCAGCTGAAAACCTCTGCGAACTTGTCATAGTTATGGAGCGTGCCAATAATTCTGTAAGAAGAACGACGAATAATACTAGTTTATATGGGCACGAATCTGGCCAGCACCCGACTAAATTGCAGCAAAATCCAGAGAAATCCCAGTAGGTCATCAGGCGCTATTACGGCTCCTATTATCTTCTATTATTACTTATCACTATTATCATTATTATTATCAGTAGTAGTGTTAGTACCCTATTATTACTATAGTATCTTCCTCTTATCCCTGTGGGATAACAGGCACCATACTAAAGTGGATTCCTGGCGTGATTTCCAGCGCAATCCCAGACGGGACTTAAGGCTGGATTCCCGGCGCAATCCCGGATAGTAACCCTGAAACGATCGCAAGCAGGGCTCTTGGCGGGAACCTCGGTGAGAACCCAGGCGTGATCACAGGCGCGATCCTGAACGGATCTCAGGAACGATTCTAAACAGGATTCCCAGCACGACCCAGGGGGGAAATTTGGGGACTATTCCGGGTGCGATCCGAGGCGGGATTCACAACACAATCTCTAGCAGGATTCCGGCGCGATCCCTGACGGGATTTCTGTCGGAATTCCTGGCACAGTGGTGGCCGGGATATCAGCTTGATTCCGGTGGGATTCCCCTTGTTCTGACACACTGACAAATGTTATTACCTGTATTTAGAAAACGTGTGTTTATCAGTTTCAAGTTGAAGATGCGCTGCTTTCTTCCTGAAGATACTACACCACGGCTAAAAATGAATAAATGTAAAGCTTAAAAACTATACAAGAACATTCGTTTGTTGGGGGCATGCTTTCTCGCTTGATTAAAAAAAACGGTTTTCCCTGAGAGTCATTCGGAATTTGGAGTTTTTGTTCGTGTGTAGCAAGAACAACCAAAGAATGTGAACAAAACTTTGGATTAAGGGCAAGAGCCATCTTTAAATAATAACTGGCTTCATATGTGACGTCAGGTTCGGGAATCGAACCCAGGCCTTTGCGGACGGAGGCGTGCGATCTAACCACTGCAGCTTCCTCCTCTCAAGTCTGTTGCAGCCAACTTAATTTGGGGCGTAGCCCAAAGGGAAATTTTGATCTTGTGGTAAAACAAATTGTAACGAGACTCGATTCCTCAGCTAAGCTCTGTTGTAATAGTGCGTAAAGAGTTTAACTGTGGTGTACAAACCCGCGCGAAACCCACAAAAAACAATTGTTCTTCTGTTAGTCCCAGTCCTGGCAGAGCCCCCTCGGTTCCTTCTTTTTGGACAAGTGCCTCATACGCCTGAGAGGGAACAAATACAAAATGGAACATATTTATTTCAAGATTAGCCGGGTTATTTTAGGTTCGCTTTGAATTCAAAATTATGGAATAGTCGTACTTTGTATGCCAGTTTGATCCCTCCGTTGTCGGCGATGTTCTCGTTCTTTGTCTTATTTCCATTTATCTGCAGATAACAAATAAAAAAGTAAATATATAATAAGTTCGTCTTACTCTGTAGCTCATTTCGGTAGGTTGGACCTGGGTTAAGAATACAAAACAATCTGTGGGCTTTCTGAAGTTTCCACTTTCTCGCTGATATGAGAGTTAGGAATCACGTGTAGAACACTTATCCCGAAATACCAGCATCGATACGCACAAGTCTCGATGCTTTTCGCCAAACTAATTTTTCTAATGTGGTTTGACCAGATTTTAAACAGCTCTGTCGCTTCAAAAACGTAACATGCACAAGAAAGAGCAGAAACGTCATGCGCGCATGAAATTTCGCTCGCGCTTGCATGGGTAGATGACTGAATCTAGCGCTGAATCTAGCGCTTGTTATGCAATGTTCAAAAGAAGAGCAAAATTAGTTTACCTTTTTACCATAAACTTCGTACTGTGAATACTGTTTAGCAAAACACTCTGTCCTTTTACTAAAACCTAAATGAGAGACGATGGACCACCAGTTTTTTATGTTACCATCCTTATCGAAAAATTTTCCTGAAAAATATGAAAAACTCATTTGTTTAAACGTTCTAGTCAAACTAAACATCATGTAGATGTAGATACGCGTTATCGACCGGATGTGAGGTCAATATGGATATCGGTCATATTTTTACGGATATTGGTCATATTTTTACTAACGAGTAAAAACCATTCCCCAAAAAGT